GCCCGCGCGCCCGGCGCGACCTCTGCGGATTGCATCGGTGTGCGGCGGCGGGGCATGCCCAGGGCACCGGGCACGGCCTTCAATGGGCGAGGACACGGACACGCGGAAAATTAACCACAGCTTCCTGCGGGACCACAGCTATGTGACCGAAGGTAACGTACGTGTTGTCTGAGGCCCCCTCCGGCCGGCCGCGGCGTGGGGATGCCGTCGCACCGAATGCCCTCCGAAGGTTTGGACCGCGCGCTGTGTGTCGTGTCCCCCCGTCCCCCGCCACGGCCTTCAATGGGCGAGGACACGGACACGCGGAAAATTAACCACAGCTTCCTGCGGGACCACAGCTATGTGACCGAAGGTAACGTACGTGTTGTCTGAGGCCCCCTCCGGCCGGCCGCGGCGTGGGGATGCCGTCGCACCGAATGCCCTCCGAAGGTTTGGACCGCGCGCTGTGTGTCGTGTCCCCCCGTCCCCCGCCCCGGGTTCAGGAGGGAGGGAGCCCCGTGGCACCGGCCGCCGCTGCCCCGCCGCGCGAGAGGCCAGCGCCCTCTTCCGCGCCGCCCTCCGCCCCCAGGCCTGATGGCATCCTGAGTCGGCCCTGGCCATCATCTCCTAAAAAAGGCCACCCCTGCGGCTCATCTGGTGAAGCGATCTCGGAGAAATTTAATGGCTTAGAATCCGGGGTTTGCCGTTTCAGCCCTGCCCAGAGCCCGCAGAATTTTCTAGGCTGCCCACTCCCCAGAGATGAAGAGGGATCCAGAGGGAAAACAAAATCCATTGCCAGATTTCTGGAGCGGGTGGCTGTCCTGGGCCCCTCCCTGTGCCTCCAGAGGCAGGGTCCCCCAGCGGGTGGGAGGAGGCGGCAGGTTTGGGGTTGGTCTTTTATTCCTGGTGAGTTATACTGAGGCAGAAGCGGCTGGCCCCAAACTGTCATCATTTGCCAGAAAGAAGTGGGATATGCCACCCCGAACGGGCCCTGCATTTGAAATCCCCTAAATTGACCCTACCAGCCCAAGCCAGACCCTGCCAAGGCCGGCGGAGTCGGAAGAGGGTCAGCGCCCCTCTGTTATAGGCCCTTAACTTCCAAGTGTCCCTCTGTGCCTCGTTGCCCAGGGAACGATGGGGACAGCTCCCCCGCAGTCAGGGACCTGCGGAGTGAAGCCCTATTCGGGATGAGGACAGCTAGCTGCGCGAGGTGTCGGCTTGCGGTGGCGGGGACACGTGCTGGAGACCTTCCGGGGTTTAAGGCCCGCCCGTGTCTTCCCCAGGGCCTGCTGGACCGGCTGCAGAAGTGTTTGTGGGTGTTTAGCAAGGCGCCCCAGTGGGAAGGGCCCTAGGCATTGTGTGCCGTGGGACTGGTGCGCGTGGGTGCCTGTGTCGCGGAACCTGTGTGGGCGAGGCGGCCGTGCTGGTGACTGACTCCGGGGTGGTGTCCGCCGCGTTGCTGCCGGGCTCCGCTGCCGGGCTCCGCCGGAAATGAGGGAAATGAAGCCGAGCTGGTCGCCCGCGGAGCCCTGTGGAGGCGGGGGGCGCGCTGGGCCGGGGCAGGACGGGCTCCCAGCGTCCTGACCGTCCTGACCCAGAGAGGAGAGCGGAGGCTGGGTGTGTAGCCTGGGCGGGAGATGCTATCGAGTGGAGGGCGGGGGTCGAGGGGGAGCTCCCTGCTCCCGGGAGAACCGGAGAACCGCTGAGTCATGCTTTGCTGATGGATGTGTGTGGGGAGGGGGCAGGGCTGCCCAGGTCTGGGTGTGGGTTCTGCCCAATGCTAGGCTCTTCAGGGGCCTGGAAGAGGCCCTTTGTCACCTGCTTTGGCGAGGTTCAGGAAGGATCAGCATCTGCCCAGGTGTTCAGATGTTCTTTCTGTTCTCAGCCTGCTGAGTAGCAGAGGTGAAAGGCCTGTGGGTTGCTGGCAGGTACCTCTACATTGAGGATGAGGGGACAGGGCACAGGGCTTTGTGATAAAAAGTAAAAAGCACCCGCTTGACCTACAGCGGACACTTGCATACATTAGTTTCTTCCTTATCCTGTCTGCCCTCCTTTCTTTCATCAATTTACCAGCTCTTAGCAGGGAACAGCAAGGAGCAAGTGCATAGTTAGTGTAAGAAGTAATGACTTTAATTTCCTCTTCATTCGACAAATAGTTATGGGGGACCTACTAGGTGCCAGTCATTGTTTCGGCCATGGGGACTGAATAGAGAGCCTGCTCTTGGGCAGCCCGTGTTCTAGAAGGACGTCTCGCGATATCAGGAGAGTCATTGTCACCCGCCATTCCCCCATCTGTAAAATGAGGGTGACTAATCCCATCCTGCCTGCAGGTCTTGGGGTTTCTGTGAGGATCAGGATTGGCGGTAGATGAAGGAGCCGCCTCGGAGCTATGTTGTTAGCTGGCTACTGAAGTGTGTCGCTCTCCCATGATGCTCTGGGGCCTTGCACAAAATCCACCCACCCTGCATCCCCATTTTGTAGATGAAGAGACTGAGGCTTGGCCTTTGTCTGTGGCCCGGACTGAGTGCCGGTTTTATGCAGGGCACAGGGCTCAGGTGCTAGGGACACAAAGAGGGGCAAGATCAGCAGCTCCTGTCTTCAGGGAGGGCAGGGGCCAGTAGAGGAAGCAATAACAATAATTATTAGAATGAGAATTGCACGAGATTTCTGGCCTCCCTGAACGAAAACAGACTTTTGCACTTTTGCATCTTGCTTGCATTTCGTGCTCAGAGCACAGGGTAGTCACAGATCTGGATGTCAGGCAGACTTGTGTTCAAATCCAGCTTCCGACACGTCCCATTGGACAAGTTACTGAGCTTGGCTTTCTCTCTTTGTAAAGGGAGAAATAATTATGACTTACAAGGTTGTTGGGACAATCAGCGATTGTGCTAATGCAGAAAGCACTCAACCCAGCATTTGGTCTGTCAGAAGCACTTAATAAATGATGCTGTTATAGCTTAAAAGTCTTGTTCCTGGAAGTGCTTCATGAGCAAATATGGATGCTGGGAGTTTGCAAAAGACCCAGATGAACAAGTACCTGTTCCACCTGGTCATTTGGACCACAGACGCTTGCTATAGTGGCTCTACTCTACTTCCTGTTCCTTCAGCAGGCCATTCCGCACCCCCCGCCTCATTTCTAGGCATTTGCACTATCTGTGTCCTCTACCCGGAACACCCACCTCCTGCTCTTCTCGTGGCTGACTCCTTCTCATCCTTTAGGTCTCAAGTTAAATGTCATCTTCACCAGTGGGAGTTCTGCTCGAGTTCCTGAGTCTCTTGCAAAATCTCAAACAACCTTGGGAAGAACTATGCATTTGTTAGTCATTCATACCTTGGTGTGAATTAGCCGGAGTAGTGTTTTTCCCCCTTAACTCTTGGCTCAGCTCAGCTGATTGAGGGTTGAGGGGTGGGCTTGGGTGCAGGTCCTCTTGGGGCACAGAGCACTTTGAAAGATGGGTGCGTGCGGGGGAAAGCAGCTCAGCAGAGGCTGTTGGGGGCAGTGGAAGGACCTAGAGAGGCCCTAGGGATGGGAGAAGACCTGGAAGTCTGCCTTTTCAGACTCTCATCAAGAGCCAGATACGGTTCCAGGAAGGGCTCTTCCTGGCCCTGTTCGCTTGCTGCAGCCCCAGGATGCAGCCGTAGGGCATGCCGAGTAGGCATCGGTCCATGTTCCCTGCAGCAGCGTTTACCCAGCATCGCCTCCACTGGTCTGGCCCCGGGCAGGCAGTGATGGACCAGACACAGGAGCTCACAGCCAGAGGAGGTGGCAGGTGCTGAAGAGGTAGATTGTGGTAGCGGCCGGGTCTTTTGGGGAAGCAGCAGTCAATCCCAGGCGCTGATGCGTAAGGCGCTTTGGGGACACGCTCTTCTGCTGGGACCACGGCTTTCCCTCAGACTCTGTCGTATGCACGACCTCTTTCATCCATCAAAGAAGGAATCTCTGTTTCTTTACCCGCATGTCTTTGCCATCCTTGTGTGCCCCAGGTGATTTCAGAGTAATCAGTTGATCTCTACGGAGTTATCCTGATTTTATCATCGGGGGGATGAAGGGAAGCTCAGAGGAGTGAAGTGGCTTGCTCAGGAATTGATAAAGTCAGGAGGGGATCACAGGCCTCTCTCCATCTGGCATCTGGGCAGTTTCTACTGCATGGGATTGTCTTCATGTTTTGAACCAGCTGTGCTCTGGGTAACGTCAGCTTTCTGCCCAGGCCTAAACCACATTGGCGAGGGCTGCTGCCTGCGGGACACCCAGCACTCAGCCACATCCGCTCTCGGTGGTGGGCACTGTGGCTGATCTCCCAGCATGCAGTCACCCTTACCACCCTGAGGACACGGGTGGTCCCTGGCAAGAGCCCTGTGGCCACGGGCTGTGTCAGCTTGCTCCAAGGGTAATGCCATCCTCCCTTCAGTGACTGCGTCCGGAATGGGCACGGCGGTCATGCTGGAGGTCGAGTGGAAAGTAGAGAGAGCCGCAGGGAGCCAGTCCCTCTGTCGCAGTGGAACACAGAAGCCCCCACTGTTGTCGGCAGCCACCTTGAGACCACAAAGGGAGCAAATCTTAAGCCAGCAACACTGTTGATGGCAGGGCAGAGTGAGTGAGAACTGGGGGTGTTGGTGACATCTGTGACTCAGTGGATTAACCAGGCCCGATGTCCACCCACCTCCGGATGTGCCACTTGCACGAGCTGGTACGTGCCAGACCCTAAGCCAGGCCTCTGTTACTTGCAGCCAACTGCACCCCGACTTGTTCAGCCTTTGTCCAGAAACCCAGGAGGCTCCCTTGTCACTGGCAACCGGGATTCGAGATGCGTAAACCCAGGGGGATTTCGATCTGTGTGCTTTCCGTTGAAGGAATCCTCTTTGATCTCTTTTATTGGCCTCAAATCAAAGTTGCCATTTCCGGTTTCTCCTCTTCATGGCGTCTGAGCAGGTGGTTCCCACCAGACGAGACACCCGACATGTGGTGTCAGGAGACCCGCAATCCAGATGGGGTCTGGTCCCAGTCCCCAGTCCTGGGCGGGCCACACAGTCTCCCTGAGCCTTAGTTCTCCAGATCGTTACTTACATCACTTGAAAGGAGGGATGTACCATCGTTTGCCGATGTAACCTCTTCTCCGTGAACTCCCTACTGTCCTTCACGGACGCAATCTTCTCGGGGAACGCATGGCCTGAACTGGCTTGGGGTGTCTGAATGTGCCCAGCCGGGGGCCTGGGGCTCAGTCAGTATTTAATAAATGTTGTCCCCTAGTAATGATGTCCATTCTTTAGGGGTCAGAATTAGATTAACCCTTAGAACTACCGTCAGACTGGCCGGCCCAACTCCATCCCCACCCCACGGGGAGACTGCGGCTGAGAGAGGGAGATGCTCCTGGC